TTTAACAGAGTGTTTGGAAGTTACTTCTCCTCAACAGTTAAGATGTTTTTGTCTGAAAAGAACCCAACCAATATGACTGCTTCAAGCGCGCAGAGCCGAGCATGCTCTCTCTCTCTGATACATGCTTAGTGAATTTTAGGCAGGCGGAATCTCATTGTCACCATTTCTTGCATTGTTTATGTAGCATAGACGCTTTGGTACTGGATATTTGATACTTTTTGGTTTTATTTGGGTCTCTCCACCTTCCTTTGAGTTTAGAGTGGCCTTGGGAGGAGCTCTTTTTGTTGAGTTATGGGTTGGTTGGAGAGAAATGCTAGGCTATTTAAGTATTGTTCTTTACCTCCTTCCATTGTTTGGGATAATATGACAGTATGACAATTTTTGCATCTCTTTTGGTCTAAGATGCTCTTTGGCTACAGGACAAGGGTGCAATTATTTATTGATCATACATCATTGTTCTGATTTATTCTTCTTCTTTTTTCCCTGTTTTCATGGGTTGGAAGGATCTCTTATCATCCATTAACCTACTTTCCTCTTTCATTTCTATCATAATATTTCTTATTTTATCCAAAAAATCGAGAATATCAAAACAAGCAGCTGGCAATTCAAGCTAAAGGCTAGACTACTCACATTTCTTCATCAGCCTCATTTGCATCATTCCCATTATTCGTAACTTGTGCCGAACCTTCCTCTGGAGTATTCAGCAATTCCTGAGCAGCTTTTAGAGCCCTTAATCTCTCTCGTCGTGTGGCAGCAGCTTGCTCTACAGATTCTTCTTCAGTAGCCATAGAAACCTACAAAATAAAAAGCTGTAAAGGAAACTACAACGACACTTCTCACTCACTTGAAAGCACAAACTTCTGTTCCCTTCTTTAATTCGGGGAAATAAAAGCTACTGTAAAAGCAAGTAACATGTCAATCCCAATTTACACTAGGTTAGATAAGTCCATTTTCTGTGCATAGGGAAACTCTCATTTTTCATGAATCTTTTTTCCGAACACATCAAATCCATATGAATAGTTAACTCAGTCTGCTTAAAATTACACAAAATTTCCACACGAATCTATAGCTGCTCCTAAAACTGGACCGACGTGCACTCCAAACCCTCACTCAGTCACTAAGAACCGCCATCAAAATTTAGTTACATCTCTTCATGGATTCATGCTGGAATGCATACACACTTAAAAAGGAATAAATAAATAAAGGAAACACAAGAACCATAAAACATATTTATCACCCTAATTAACAGATTAATCCTTAACTAACAAAGGCTCAACCAAAAAGTAAATAATGCGGACGGTTTACACGCGTTTGGTCTCGTAGAAAACCCACGAAAATATAAGAGAAAGGGAGAGAAAATCAATTGAGTGGTCTCAATTAAATGCCGAAAGGTCGACGGAGAAGATGCTTACCAGACGCCGAGAGAGTTCAGAGTTGGGAGGTTTTCGTTGTGAAATTGCTCGCTCCTTCAAGTTGTGGTCTGCAAGTATTCGATGAATGGTTTAGAAGGCTGAAAGAATAAAAACAGAACAACAATGGCGGCAGCTGGCAGCTTGTAAAATCGATGGGCCGACCCGTATGATATAGTATTTGGCCCGGCCCGGCCCGGCCCGGCCCAAACATGTTATTGCATACAAATTATTATGTGAATTACCTCTTTCCAACAACTTCTTAAAGGCTTTTTCTTTCTCCTTTTGAATCTTTACATCAACTTTATTCCACTATATTATAAAGAACTAGTTAATTAAAACTTTATTCTTTGTATTTTCTACTTTTTCTTCGGTTCATTTTATATAGTTTTATCCGTGAGATAACTTTTGAAATTCTAATTCCGATTTTACTATCAGTTTTATCTATATTATAATAAAAAATAAATAATCAATAGTTA